CTGGATATTCCCCGACAGGATGTGTTTTATATCATCCTTTCAGGAACATGTCGATCAGAAAACATTCTCTCAGTAAAATACCAACCAGAATTTCAAACATTTCACCAGCAAAACTCTATCTAATCCTAAAAATTTCTCACAAGAATTTAAAGCCCGAATTCTAAAAATCTAATCAACACACAAATTCCAGCAAGATATATCTCGCAAGGATGAAGCTTCTCACCATCCACGGGTGGGCGCCGGGCGGGGGCGTGTGACCGCTGACGACCTTCGGCCTCTCCATGGGCGCGGTGGGCGTGTCCTCGACCTCCCGCCGCCCGCACGTGAGGGGGAGGGAGGGTAGGTCGGGGACGGTATTGTCTGACGGATCGGAGAGGGCTGACCCGACCTGCAGGGAGGCGGGGAAGGTTATGCAGCAGAGAGGCAGTCGTGAGCGAGTCGGTATAATACAAAATAAATTGTCTCGATCGATGGGGCAATTTGATGACGAGAGGATGGAAATTATATATATAATATATATATATATATATATATATATATATATATATATATATATATGTATGTATGATGTATGTATGTATGTATGTATGTGTATATATATATATATATATATAATATATATATAATATATATATTATATATAATATATATATATATATATATATATATGTATATATATATATATATATATGTGTGTGTGTGTGTGTGTGTGTGTGTGTGTGTGTGTGTGTGTGTGTGTGTGTGTGTGTGTGTGTGTGTGTGTGTGTGTTGTGTGTTAGAGAGAGAGAAAGAGAGCGAGGTTTTGTATTACAATCTTTTAAGTGTATTTGGGGTTTGGAAAGGATAACAGACAGTAATTCTAAATTTCTTAATTGACTGCTTGATTTAGATCTGTTAACCTTAAGGAATCTAACCAAGCAAGTCGATAGTCTATTATCTCTATTACTATCAACATTATTACTACTATTACTATCCTGTCATATCATCATCATATAGTGACATTTCTTTTTCTCTCTCCCTTTGTGCTGTACGCAATTAAAGTTTAAGAGAAAATTGAGTTTGCGTCAGACTATGACATTAATTGTATTAATTTTATCATTCAAATCCCTATTTCTTATTCTTGAAAGAGGTAGGCCTACATTTAAATATATCATCAACACTCCAAAACATGAGATATGTCATTAATCATAGAATAAACATAAAACAATACAAATAATCTTATTTTATATATGATTTTTCTAATACAACAGTAAAATAATCTTCGTAGATTATGTGCATAGTTGTTTTTCTAATGCAACTCAGTAATAAATAAACAAAATCTTAATTTTATTGTCTAGGGGTTTTATCTTTCTAATACAACTCAACAATAACATTTCCATAAACCTATTTTGCCCAGAGCTATTTTTTCTGATGCAACTCAATAAAGAAATCTTAAATTTATTGTCTAGTAGTTTCACTTTTCGAATGCAACTCCATGAAAAACATTTCTCTCAACTTATTACGTCCAGAGCTTCTTTCTTTCTTTCTTTTAATGCAACTCAATAAAAAAAAAATCCCTAAATCTATCATACATTCTTCGTTCTTGATTTTTTTTCCTATACAAACTCAATCCAAAAAAAAAATTCTCCTTACGGAAACCGTCGCCGGCGTATCCGAACACAGCAACCCGACGTCCTCGTTTCTGTCTTTTCTTTCTTCCTTTCTTTCTTTTTAATGTAACAATCTAAAAAAAAAATCCCTAAATCTATCATCTACCATACATTCTTCGTTCTTGATTATTTTTCCTATAAAAACTCAATCCCCCCCAAAATTCTCCTTACGGAAACCGTCGCCGGCGTATCCGAACACAGCAACCCGACGTCCTCAGTGTGGTCGCAGTTGTTCTGACCCCAAGGCAGGTGTTGGCAGTCAGCCACCGACGACTCATACCCGAGGCACCTGACGTCATCGAGCCACACCTGGCCCTCACCTGGCCCGAAGGAGTTGTTCTTGTAGACGAAGGCGGCGCCCTCCCAGCCCAGCATGCGGCAGATCACCTGGAAAGTGGGTTGTGGGAGGAGGTGGAGGTGGGATGGGGGGTGGGGTGGAGGTGGAGGTGGGGTGGGGGTGGGGGGAGGTGGAGGTGGAGGTGGAGGTGGGGGTGGGGTGGAGGTGGGGTGGGGGTGGAGGTGGGGTGGGGTTGGAGGTGGAGGAAAAGGTGGGGGTGGGGGTGGAGATGGGGTGGGGTGGAGGTGGAGGTAAAAGAATATCAATATTACTGTTACCATTACTAGCACTATTATCATCATCCTTATCAATATTAATATCATCCTTATCATCATCACCATTACCATCAACACCCTCACCACATCCACATCCACCACCATCATTATTTTCATCATCACCAATACTTCACAGATTATAAAGAGAACCTAATGAAAAACCTAGAACCTAGAACCTCTTCCTCCTGGGCTAAATATTATCAAATAAACGTAAATTAAAATAACAAAAATAAAATCATATCCACATGTCGACAAGCTCAGGTTTTTGCAATAAATACCAACTCGATGATTTAATAAATGCAAGAAGAAAACAGATTATTTTTTCATGATTAGCGGAAGCCAATATATATGAATAACATCATTTTATTTCAGAGGATGATCATCACCCGTCTATCAGTCACTAATTAGTATGAATTGATAAATAATTGAATAAAACACGGAACACCGTGACGGTCTTCCATGCCCTAACAAACAATACATACATACATACATTCCATTCATACATTCATACATACATTCATACATACATACATGCATACTTACATACATACATACATGCATACATACATACGTACGTACATTCATACATACATACATACATACATTCATATATACATACATATATACGTACATATATACATACATAAATACATACATATATACATACATATATACATACATAAATACATACATACATACATATATACATACATACATAAATAGATAAATATATATAGTTAGGTATATAATAAACAAACAAGTATAATGATTAATACAGAGTGACCGTTTTCCTCGTTAAACTTTCACTAACAACTAAATATACAAACAGATACATGAATAAACAAATGAATAATTAAACAAATAAATAAATAAATAAATAGCAGAAACTACCATCGGTCTTACGTGTCCTTCCTCCAGACTGAAGTCATCATCGCATTCCTCTTTAAAACTAATTCACAAACAACTAAACAAACAAACAAGCAAATAAACAAACAACTAACCAACTAAACAAACAAAAACAACAACAAAACGTTTCATCCTTACATGCCCTTCCTCCAAACTGAAGTCGTCATCGCAATCCTCTTTAAAACTAATTCACAAACAACGAAACAAACAAACAAACACACAAAAACACAAACAACGTACCAACCAAACTAAACAAAAACAACAAAAAACCGTCTCATCCTTACATGCCCTTCCTCCAAACTGAAGTCGTCATAACACACGATTCCTCTTTAAAACTAATATACAAACAACTAAACAAACAAACACACAACAAACGAACAACAAACACCAACCAACCAACCAACCAAACAAAACAAAAACAACAACAAAACCGTCTCATCCTTACATGCCCTTCCTCCAAACTGAAGTCGTCATAACATACGATTCCTCTTTAAAACTAATTCACAAACAACTAACAAACAAACAAACAAACAAACAAACGAACAAACAAACAACCAACCAACCAACCAACCAAACAAAACAAAACAACAAAACCGTCTCATCCTTACATGCCCTTCCTCCAAACTGAAGTCGTCATCGCACACCGTCCCCCAGATGCCCAGGTAGCGCACCTCCACTCTCCCAGCTGACACTCTCCCGTCTGCGTCCTCTGCGCCTCCGACGAGACGAACCTCCACGGTGGCCTTTGGAGAGGGGGAGAGAGGGGGGGAGGGAGAAAGAGAAGGATAAGTAGGGAAAAGAGAAGGATAAGTAGGGAAGAGAGATGGGTGATGATAAAAGGGAGGAGGGGTAGATTGGAATAAATGCGGAAAGAGATTTAAAAAAAAAATGGAGAGGGGGAGGGGGAAGAGATGGGTGATGATAAAAGGGAGGAAGGGTAGATTGGAGTATATGTGGAAAGAGAGATAATAAACGGGAGAGGGGGAAGGGGAGAAAGAGGAGGATAAATAGGGATGAAAAAGATAATAGATGATAAATGGGAGGAGGGGTAGATTGGAATAAATGTGAAAAGAGAGATAATAAGAGGAAGAGGGGGAGGGAGAAAGAAAAGGATGAATAGGGAAGAAAGATGGGTGATAAAGGGGTGGAGGGATAGATTGGAATAAATGTGGAAAGAGATAATAAAATGTAGAGGGAGGGGGGGGAGAAAGAGAAGGATAAATAAGAGAAGGGTGGGTGGTGATAAAGGGTGGAGGGGTAGATTGGAATATATGTGGAAAGAGAGATAAAAAAAGGAAGAGGGGGGAGGGAGAAACAGAAGGATAAATAGGGAAGAGAGATGGGTGATGATAAAAGGAAGGAGGGGTAGATTGGAGTATATGTGGAAAGAGATAATAAAATGGAGAGGGGTAGGGGGAAGGGGAAAGACAAGGATAAATAGGGAAGAAAGATGGATGGTAATAAAAGGGAGGAGGGGTAGATTGGAATACATGTGGAAAGAGATAATAAAAAGAAGAGGGGGAGGGGGGGGAGAAAGAGAAGGATAAATAGGGAAGAGAGATGGGTGATGATAAAGGAAGGAGGGTAGATTGGAGTTATGTGGAAGGTAGGGAAGAGAGATAGATATTAAAAGGGAGGGGGAGGGGGGGGGACGGGGAAGGATAAATAGGGATGGTAAATGGGTGATAAAAGCGAGGAGTGGTAGATTGGAATACATGTGGAAGATGGGGAGGAAAGAGAGATAGATAGTAAAAGGGAGGAGGGATAAATAATAAAATGGAGAGGGGAGGGGGAGGGAGAAAGAAAGGATAAATAGGGAAGAAAGATGGGTGATAATGAATAAAGGGGTGTAGATTGGAATACATGTGGAAAGAGATAATAAAAAGAAGAGGGAGAGGGGGGAGAAAGGAAGAGAAATAGGAAAGAAAGATGGGTGATGATAAAAGGGAGGAGGGGTATATTAGACTACATGTGGAAGGTAGGGAGGAAAGAGAGATAGATATTAAAAGGGAAGGGGAGGGGGGTGGGACGGATAAGGATAAATAGGGATGGTAAATGTGAATAAAAGCGAGGAGTGGTAAATTGTAATACATGTGGAAGATGGGGAGGAAAGAGAGATAGATAGTAAAAGGGAGGAGGGATAAATTGGAATAATTTATTTATGTGGAAGTTTTTTTGTATAAATAAATAAATGGAAGGTGGAAGATTTTTTTAAGGGAGAGATAAAGATGAAGAGGTTAAAAAGGGGATGAATGATAAATTAAAATAAATCTGGGATGAGAAGTGAAAAAAAGAAATAAAGTATAAAGAAAGAAAATGGAAATAAAGATTGCGAAAAACAAAAAATGGGAGATGAAAATTCTATGAGGAAATAAAAGGAAGGGAAACAAACAATAGATAAGAAAAACACTGAAGGATTTTTTCATGAGATTTTAAAATATAATCAAAAGAAAATCTAAAAAGTAATAAAAACAGAGTTAGATTATTTTAAAAAGCTACGACTAAACAAATCAGAAATGTAAAGGATGACAATAAATCAAACACAATTACAAAAATATAGAAAAGATAAATGCTAAAAAAATACAGTAAAAATAAAACCAATACAATTAATCATAACTGTTATGAAATTTGCAGTTCGCACAGGAAGGTTTGTTTCAGAAATTCATGCAATATGAGTGACGTCATTTTTTATTGAAACTCTCCGGTTAATCATTCACTTTTTACACAAGAGTTCAATTTCTTTCATAAATTGCGCCCGAAGGTGTATCCCTTGAAACTTAATAATAAACCAAAAATCAACAACCGAGACTAAAATATTAGTGGAATATTTACATTCCTCCTCGTTAAGATAAAATAGAAAATTATTTAAGATGAATATTTGATGAAACAATTCGTAACTCGGAAGCTATCTATGCATTTTTTCTATACTGAATTATCCACTGAAATAGAGAGAATGTGGAATGAAGAATAAAGGAAGAATAATAATTAGAATCATAATGAGTCTACAAGGATGAAAATACTCATTAATACCGTAACTCGAAAAATAAATATGTAAAAAAATGCAGACTTATCTTCATGTAAATTGAAACTACACGTGGCTGACATTTCTTAACAAGAGCTACAACTGTTCATTATACTCCAAATAAAAGTCACCATTTTTCAAACAATGAAACGCTTCTACTTTTCGTACAATCATTCTCCTTTCATACGAGTTGATAATCCTTATTGTTGTGGAAGTAAAGAGATTTCTTAAGCTCCGCCCCTTTTTCCAGCCTAGCACGCTGATTGGTTACTGGGAGTAGTCTCGTGACCGTTGGATTTTTTTTTTTTTTTTTTTTTTGCAAAATGTTTACAACTTCAGAATAATATAGCTAGTGTAACGGAACAGCTGTAGGGAAAGGGTTAAAGTGGGGTAATCTTACCTAATGTAATGTACAAACTTTACTCCAAATTACAGAATGTTAAAAACAAAAGGATCCTGTTTTGAAATCCATTTGAAACCTCTACTTTACACCCGTCCATCCCATCTTTCACCCTCTTTCCTCTCCCTTTCCCCAGCGTGTCCGTTCCATGGCCACCCTGACCAAACACGGTGTTGATGAAGGTGGATTATTTCTTCTAACTACAACTGTAATTTTGTTGTTGTGGTTGTGGTTGTGTGTGGTGGTGGTGGTGGTGGTGGTGGTGGTGGTGGTGGTGGTGGTGGTGGTGGTGTGGTGGTGGTGGTGGTGGTGGTGGTGGTGGTGTGGTGGTGGTGGTGGTGGTGTGGTGGTGGTGGTGGTGGTGGTGGTGGTGGTGGTGGTGGTGGTGGTGGTGGTGGCGTTTGTTATGGGAAACTTAATATCCCCACGAATAGAGCTGACCTTCTTTAGCATTCCTTGTGCGAACGCGAATGTAACAGTCCTCATAATCTATTGTTGTGAACAGTTTTCCTGTAGATAATGCTAAATCTATTTTGTTTTCCCTTCCTCTCTTTTATTACTATTTTCAGTTACTTTTGCTGCTCATATCTTTTTTCTTTACAATACTCCTATATTCCTTCTATTATTCATCTAACCCTTAATTCATTTTCTATCATTCCTATTACCTCATTTTCTCCATATTATTCCTATCACTCGTATTGGCTGACAGCCTCAGATCCTAAAAAGCTCGTCTCAAGGAAACAATTTTCCAACTGACTGTCACAGATAGTCACTGGCGACTGACAGCTGTCAAATCCATGCCAAAAGTATTGGAGGCAAATTATTTCCTTCTTTGCTGTATAAATACGTCATTTTCGAGATAAAGAGTAATTCGGGTTAAAAATGATAGTAACTTTCTTCTAAATATGCATTTTGTAAACAATGTAAAAATTAGGAGTATTTTTATTTTAGTTCGCTGTGCGGGAAACAGTTTAAGAGCCACAAGACAACAAATGTAACATGCATTTTTAGTCTTGATTCTCTTTTAACTCTGAATTGCTATTATTTTTGTGATATTTATACTTCCCGTATATTTTTTTGCAATAATTAGAAATCAAACCATTTAGTAAAGGAATGCTCATTAGCTACAATTTACTTCCACATAGGCTACTGCTTCACTAGCCAATCACAAACCAGTACGTCGCACCAAGGGCGGGGCTTAAAAACATTTCCACAGAAAACGCACTTTAGTCGTATCTGTGGTGCTTTATTATTGACAATCTCAAATCAGCATAATTTTATCCTTCAACCTGGACCTTTGCTCTCGTCTTTGACTACGCTTCTGTACATATATTGTTCTTCTACTTATTTACCCTTTGTCTCTTTACTCTCCGTGAAACCGCGGAAATGTCGTTTACTTCCGTATCCCCACACTTTCGTCCCTCCTATAAAGTACCAAACACTGAAATACATATTTATTTTACTGCTGTAACCCTCACTCCACATATCTCCTCATAAACAAACTACTGTAACCTACTTTACCGCTATAACCTCATCCTTCCTCATAACACGAACAAACAACGGCAACCTCCTTTAACCCCGTAGCCCCACACTCTCCATTCCTTATAATAACAAGACCAAACCACCGCCGCCGCCGTCCTTCATCCCACTTACTCCCATCCTTTCCTGATTTCCTGCCACTTCCTGGACATATCTCTTCCACTTTAGCCGTTCGTCTCATTCTTTACAGACTCTAAACGTGTCAATTTTCGGAACTCGACGCATCCAACTGACGATCAACGTTTATTTTAAATCCGCGTCTAAGTTAGAGGATGACACTTGATATATATGATTTTATACATGAGATTAATGAGTACAAAAGTATGAATTTGTCTTCAGCAATTGCTTTTCTTTTGTCCGGTATCAATGTGGTGTGTGTGTGTGTGTGTGTGTGTGTGTGTGTGTGTGTGTGTGTGTGTGTGTGTGTGTGTGTATGTGCGTGTGTACGTACGTGCGTGCGTGCGTGCGTGCGTGTGCATAAATATTCATATACCCATAAACACAAACGCGCACACACATACAGATACGTAGATAGATAAATGAATAGATATAGACAAATAGACAGACAGATAAAAAGTTTGGCAGTCAGACAGATAGATAAAAAGTGAAAGTCATATAGATGTATAGATAGACGTATTCAGAAGAGCTAGCCTAATCCTTCTAAATGCTTAGCTGATAAATAAGATTGTGTATATATGTATATGTATGTATATATGTATGTATGTGTATATATAATATATATAATATATATATATATATATATATATTATATACTATATATATATACATATATATATATATACATACATATATATATACATACATATATATATATATATATATATATATATATATATATAGAGAGAGAGAGAGAGAGAGAGAGAGAGAGAGAGAGAGAGAGAGAGAGAGAGAGAGACAGAAAGAAAGAAAGAAAGAAAGAAAGAAAGAGAGGAGGGAGGGAGGGAGAGGGAGAGAGAGAGAGAAAGAGAGAGAGAGAGAAGAGAAAGAAAGAAAGAAAGAAAGAGAGAGAGTAAGAAGAAAGAGGGAAAGAGAGAAAAAAAGAAAGAAGAGAGAGAGAGAGAGAAAGAGACAGACAAAGTCCAAACAACCCTCAGAACTTCCCGACGTCGTCCCCAAACCAACCATCACCAACCTCACCTGACACATGTCCCTGACCTCATCCGAGTTATCCTTGCAGTCGTCTATGGTGTCGCACAGGTACTGCAGGCCGACGCAGCGCCCATTCCCGCACTTCCACTGGTGGCGCCCGCAGTCATCTCCCGGCTTGAAGCACTGGACGCCCGCAGCCTGTAAGGATAGGCGCCTTTGGAGTATGTTGTAGTTTATATAATGTATTTTTAGAATCTATTTTTTGTTGTATATGTAATGTATTGTATTTTTAGAATCTATTTTGTGTATTATATGTAATGTAATTTCATGATCTATTTTTGTAGTATAATGTTGTTGTTTTTTGGATCTATTTTTTGTAGTGTATATATAATGTATTTTCAGAATCGAATCTATTTTTGTAGATATATAGTTTTTTCAGAATCTATTTTTGTAGTATATGTAATGTATTTTCATGATCTATGTTTGTAGTATGTATTTTTTTCTGAATCTATTTTTGTAGTATATATAATGAATTTTCTGAATCTATTTTGTTTAGTATATATAATGTATTTTCAGAATCATTTTTTGTAGTATATATAATGTATTTTCAGAATCTTTTTTTGTAACATATATAATGTATTTTCAGAATCTATTTTTTGCAACATATATAATGTATTTTCAGAATATATTTCATGCTAATATTGGAGAAAGCAATATTTTCAGGTTCTGTCATAGTAATAGTTCGGATAATAATATACATTT